GGAGGGACCCCACTACTTCCTCCATTATACTAGGGGTTGCAAGCTTGTATTGGATGCTCCAAAGTCAAATAAAGACTAGAAAGATTGGTTCGTGTGGGTCTTCAGAGCTGATAGTGTCCTCTCCCCCCAACTGGCCTGAGATCAACAAGGACATGCTAAAGCTATGCGTCCTTACCGTTGAGGAGAGGAGGCAGCTAGAGAAGATATGTGTAGGGTGTAAATTTTGATTTTCCTAAATGGGGATTTTGTTTGTATTGATAAGAATAGCCTATTACAAACTAATGAATCAAACTTACAACAGAAGTGGAGGGAATGCCCTCCTTGTTTAACGTGGGGTCTTTGGTAGCGATAGGACGCCTCCCTCAATGTCAGAACCGAGTTTGCTTCCCCTGGATGATCCGAGTGAAGTTGCGGGCGAACTTCACTATGCAGTAGAAGCTCGTGTTGACCGAGTTTGAGTTTTTGAGCTTAAAGGCTATCAAGGCCGAAAGCTAAAAGAAGATGCTACAGTGCAAAAGTAATGAAGAGAGCAGGTCGTTTGTTAATGAAAAGCCCATCACCATCAATCCACCCCCTTCATGTAGCCAGGAGGGGATCTTAAATAGGGAAGAGATAGCATGTTTACTCCATTGAATCATAGGATGTGACTACGTACTGTTGAGAGATATCATGCCTCTTACTTGTACTGCGAACGGCTACCTGATGGGTGCGGAGTACTATACTCCCCCCTTTCACGTCTTGGGAAATGAGAAGGCTCATCCCTGTATGTGACACTATAGCCGCCTAGTGCTCTGGCGAGCTTGGCGAACTTGCTGACGGACTACTGATTGCCTGGATGTGCAGGCGAGCTTCGTTCGTGCTGGCGAACTTAGCGCTTGAGTTGACTTGACTCGTGCTGGCGAGTCAAGCATGGAAGCGAGCTTCGTTCATGCTGGCAAACTTTAGCGTTTGAGCGGACTTGACCCGTGCTGGCGAGTCAAGCATGTAGGCGATCTTCGTGCGTGCTGGCGAACTTTAGCATTTGAGCGGACTTGACCCGTGCTGGCGAGTCAAGCATGCAGGCGGAACTGAGCTCTCGACGGAGGGCTCGACGATTAAAGCGAGTTTGTTTGGCTCTTCTGCGTGCAGGCGTAAGCCTAACCCTCACTCTAACCCTAACCCTCATCTAACCCTAACCCTAACCCTCGTCCTCGCCATAATCCTCGCCCTCGCGCTCTCTCTCGCCCTAACCCTAACCCTAACTCTCACCCTCACCCAAACCCTAACCCTAACCATCACCCTCACCCACCCCAAACCCTAACCCTAACCCTAACCCTAACCCTAACCCTCTCCCTCGCCATAACCACCCCCCTCGCCCTCTCCCTCGCCCTAACCCTAACCCTCACCCTCACCCTCCCCCAAACCCTAACCCTAACCCTAACCATCACCCACACCCTCACCCAACCCAAACCCTAACCCTAATTCTAACCCTAACCCTCCCTAACCCTAACCCTAACCCCAACTAAATTTTAATTTTTATGTTATAATTTTATCAAGATGGAAATTTTTTGTTTTGTAATATTTTATTAGATTTTTGGATTTTTTTACAATTTATTTATTTTGCAAAAACTAAACTCTAATTATAATTAAAAACATGAAACTAATCAATATAATAAATTAAAAAAACTCTCTTTCTCTCTCCCTCTACATCTCTCTTTCTCTCTCCCTCTACATCTCTCTTTCTCTCTGCCTCTCTGTCGGTAGGACGATGCCAGTCGTCGTTGGTTGGCTGGCTGTTAGCATCGGCCGGAGGAGAGCGAGATGAAAGAGAGATGTAAGGGGGAGAGGAAAGAGAGATGGGGGAGATCTATACGCTTTGAGAGAGAGAGGGGTGGGACCGGGCTTTTTTTTTTTTTTTATTTTTTTTTTTTTTTTTTTTTTTTTATTTTTTTTTTTTTTTTTTTTTTTTTTTTTGTGTTTTTTTTTTTTTTATTTTTTTTTTTTTTGTTTTTTTTTTTTTTTTTTTTTGTTTTTTTTTTTTTTTTTTTTGGATAAGCGGGTCGACGGCGGGACTGGCGACGGGGTTCGGCGGCGTCCTGGGGCGGCCATAGGAGAGAGATGGAGAGAGAGAGTGAGAGAACGAGAGATGGAGTGAGAGAACGAGAGATGGCGGCTGATTTTGGGAGAGAGAGGGGGAAAAATAATATCTCATGCACGGGTTGCCCAAATTTTTTGGGCAAGCCCACGCCAATTTTTTTCTTATTCTTTAATAATGGAAATTCCTTCACTAAAACTCAAATTTCCATCGGTAAAAATTTAAAACAACGGCGACAGAAATTTTCGTCGCTAATAGTAATAAATCTGTCGTTAAAAATTTTTTTAACAACGGAATTATAGCAACGAACTATTCTGTCGCTATATTCCAAGATATAGCGACGGATTTGTCTATCGCTAAAAATTCATCGTTGATAGTCCTATTTATGCTAGTGAGTGGGGTCGGTGGTAAAGCCTAGAGAGATGTGGTAATTCCGAACACTTGAGAAAGGTGACACGTGAGAGGCCAACACTTGAGGTGGTATTTGTGTAGTTACAAGTATGAGTTGTAAACGTTTGTCGGTGAGCATAGCAACCCGAGATGGTGAGGTGTAAACATTTTTGGGTGAAAACCCATTTGTGATAGTGGATTCTCCCCGGGAGTGAGGAGCGGAGACGTAGGTCGGAAGGACCGAACTCTGTGATCATCTTTATGTGTTTGTGTTGATTATTTGCACACAATCTCATTTGCATTTTAGTTTATATTTATATCACCTTTTGTTTATGTTGCATATTTTTTCTCATAATTAGTTGTATATTATACTTGCAAGAATAAATTTTTAATAAATTTTAGTTAGCATTAAATCGGATATTTTAGCATACACCCTATTCACCCCCTCTAGGGTGATTTCAAGGTATTCTTTCATTAAGATATATATATTTAATTTCCAATTTAGGGTTTAGTATCCCTTTTTAATCATTTAAAGATTGTCTAAGTTGATAGTGGTAAACAAAAATAATAAGAATTGATTAAAAATATCTGATTAGGTAATAAAAATTAAAAAATATTATAGCTTAAAAATTATTGTTACCATATAAATTAAAGCATCTGCTTAAAATTTTACTAATAAGTTGGAGAGCAAAACACATTAGTAACATTAATTGATAGATGTTTAAATCCATAAAAATAATAAAAGGCGATAATATAATAGCTTAGCATTAATTAATTCTAATTTAGAAACATTAATATCTAATGTTAATAATATTTATAGGGTAAAAAAATACAATAAATTATGTATGAAAAAAACTATCAGAATGTTCAGAGATATCCTTCAAAATAATCAAGCTATTTTCACTGCAAATGGGAAAGTGATAAAAATAAATCTAAAATTCAGAAAACGTCCATGAATCATTTGAATTGTCATTAACATAAGGTATGTCTATTAAAGAAGCACCAACTGAGTTATATTGAAGAGTAATTTAATAATTTTATCCCAATCAAAGAAGAATTCTCAATGGAAGATATAAGAATAATTAGTAAGCATTCATAAATTTCATACTTTGTTCTTCAAATACTAAAAAAATTAAATATTAATGTTATAATCTAAGGCAAATTATCAATAAAAAATACAGGTATTTAGTTAAGATCTTTGTGGGAAATGACAGGGATAGAGCAAATGTAATATTATTAAAGTAACGGATACTCTTATTGGATGCACATCAGAAAAATTCATTGTAGAGAAAAAGAGGTAACTCCTAATCTTATTTAAGTAATAAATTAGAAACACAAAGAATTTCATATATATTAGATTAATATTTATTCTCATTGAAATAAAAAATATCAAAGTTTGTATTTTAAGAAGTTTGTGTTGAACATCAGAAATACATTTAACTTCTTTGTGAAATTAAACGACAAAATAAAATATTAACAAGCCAAGGAAAGATAACAGCACAAAAAATATAACTCTAGCCTGATATCACAATCAAGTAGATGATGAAGACACTACTCTAGAATTGTCTTGAAAAAAGATAAATGTGAGGAAGGATTGATATTAGCTTAATAAAAAAATAAAATAGAAGAAATAAAAAATAATATTTTTTTAATATTTTATAGAATAGTTTAATTATTTTGAGTGAATTTAGAGTTAGCATTAATCTTTAATTTATAATTTTTGATGAAGTCTATCAATGATTAGGAACAAACTTCATATTCTCTTTTGTATATTTTTAACATACTTTTAACCAATCATTTTGTCTTATTGGTTTTAAATATTCACCTTCCTTGTATAACATTATCTTAATATTTTGTACTTTCTCAAGTAAATCTTGGTTTCATGTCAGTCAAAATAATATGAAAATTCAAATTAGCTTCAAATTATATTTATTTTCTATCAATTCAAATATCAACATGAAAATTTAAATTGGGTGCAGCCCATTTAAACAAACATCAAAGAAAATAAATAATCACAATATTAAAGTTTAGAGACAAAAGTGAGCATATATAAACTATTAAAGTGAAACTGAGAAACAAATTTTAGTTAGAAAAGAATAATCTAAAAATACTTAATCATGATATTTAACCACGTGCATTGCACCTGTGTAAAACCTACAAAATCCAAAAGAGAGAACTAAATATCCTCTCTCATTGCTCCTTGCAACGCATACCAATAGTCCAATACCAAATCAACATCAAATAATTTCATGTGTATTGGAACTATCGTTTCAAAAAAAAAACTTGCTCAGTTTCTTGCATTTGTCATTCCAACATACTTAATCCGACGTAAATCGTACATCAGCTAATTGCATTCGCAAATTTCAGCATAACATCAACGTACACTTTAGCCCACACAATCATCAAATACTAGTACAACAAATTCGTCAAAAAAAAAAAACAGTAACAAGAGCAGAAAATTATCAAACCGTGACGCTTGAGACCATCCGATACTTTTTCTTAAGAAATTAAATGGGCGCTTCAAGAGCCAATATACATATGAACTTTTATAGCAAGAAGAAATATGGCAATGAAGGCAAAGTATAGGATCGAATGAACCAATATCGATACGCCACTCGTCTGAAAATTGATGAACTCAACCACCCTGCTCCTGCCTGGGAGCTGAAAGATGACTCCCGGAGATAGAACTATGAACAACATGACGGAGACGAAAACCGGACCCCAATCAGTCATTTTTTTGGTGAACAATAAGACCTTGTTATCTACAAGCTATGCTTGGTTGAGATATTTATGAGGGGTGGAGATACTAAACCCTACGATTATGGTTACATGTCACTAGGTTTTGCTTTTGCTAATTTTTTCTAAGATTTGTTATCAGTTCTTGGGATCGATAGGTCGTTAGGTGTCTTTTGCTTTATGCAAGTGACTGAGAAGGGACAGTAAAGGGTTGTGCTCTCTTTTCTTGCATGGAAAGTTAGAAACTAATGTTCGTTGTGGCCCTCTCAAGCCAAGGATAGGAATCAGAGCAGAGAACAGGTGTTCCTGCCTAGGAATTTATTAATTAATTATTCCATACACAAAAATGTACAAATATATGTCTTCTTTTAGATATACTTTTAGGTGTTCCATTTTCTTTTGTTAGTTGCTTTGTGTTAAGAGTTCTTATGAGTTATAAACCATTTCTTTTTTATTTTTTTCCTCCCAAAAAATAGGACCTGAGACGGTGCATACAGTGTAAGCAAGCATCCATCTTGTAGTACATGCTTTTCTTACTTCTCTCATCTCATGATATTTTGATAGCATGGGAGGCAACTGAAGCTTGTTCACTTCGAAAGGTAACTAGCCTTGATAAGTTCAATTAAATTTTTATTTATGAAGCAAATCATTATGAGATGTTGGAGGAAACTTTTCAATTTATGAAGTTCAGGTATGAGAAAAACAAATAGATGTATAATTAGCAACAACAAAAGTCTCATAAGTTGTCTTGAATAAGTAGAAAAACGAAAGACTCGTCTATGTTACTTTCAATCTTGTTTTACCTTCTATTAGATATTACACTCCACGTGACATTGCAGGAAAGAAAATTTTGAGCTATATTTAAATATACTGTAAACAAATTTCTCTAACATAGATTTCAACTCAAGAATTATATTCTTGTAAAGTAATATGCATTTTTGTAATGACATCAGAGATAAAAACATATAAAAATACTGGTGACAGACATAAAGACATTATAGTCTGTGACCGATGATTAAAGAAAAGATGATCTTTCATAAAATACAGACAAACACATTGTAGAATTGAGAACGACGGCGACGAAGTTCAGAAGAATTGAAGCATGTCAGTTTTGACCTCTGACCAACCGACCGTGGCAACATGTACGGTCGACCGGAAACGTGCACGAGTATAGGGTAGGTTCTGGATTTCTGTCCGGTCGACCACAAAGACTTCGGCGGTCGACCGCAAACCCTGTAAACTCAAAGTGAATTTTCTGTGTTCTGTCCGGTCGACCGCGAAGACTTAGGCGGTCGATCGTCTGTCGGGTTTTGGCTTGGGCTTCGTTTCCTGTTCTGATTTGGTTTGTGTTTTGATATATATTGAAGCACGTTTTTTAGGGTTTTCTTAAGGCAAAAAGAAGAGACTTTTGAGCTGTGTGATTGGGAGATTTGGTGAGAGATTTGAGAGCTTTGTTTGAGAGATTAATTTATGAGTTTTGAGTGAATTTGTAATCTCTATTTGTACTCTCTCTCTCTCTAATAGTAAAATCCATCTCTTCCTTGCCCCATGGCGTAGGCACATTGCTGAACCACGTAAAATGTGTCTTGCATTGTTTGGTTCTTGTTTTACCTATTGGTTGTGATTCAATCTCAGTTTGGTTGTGTTCGTTTCGGATTCCACTACGCACAACAAGTGGTATCAGAGCTACGGGTTTGGCTTGTGTCTCGTTTTGGAGCATTCTCTAAAGCATTCTCGTTTGAAGAGATCAAGTTATCAACATGGGTGAAGTAAGTACATCGAGATTGTCTCTTTCGAATGTGATACAAGGTTTAAGTATCAATAACACTAAAATTAATGTTCAGAAGTTTGATGGCAAGATAAACTTTGGTTTTTGTGGAGGTGTCAGGTGATAGATGCGTTGGATGCCTAGAATTTGGAGGAGACTCTTAAATTACAAGAGAAACCCGCTGATATGGAGGAGAAGGTTTGGAAGAATGTTAACAGTAGAGCATGTAGGGTTATTAGGTCATACTTGATGCTGAATTTGATCTATGATGTGATGAACGATACGTCGGCGAAACGGTTGTGGGAAACACTCAATGAGAAGTATTTAACAAAGAGCATTGAGAATTAGCTTCACTTGAAGAAGAGGTTTTACTAATTCAAGATGAAGAGGGGAGTTTCCATTAGAGAGTATGTTAATAACTTCACAAAATTGCTATCGGATATGTCCAATGTGGATATCATGGTTAAGGATGAAGACAATGCGATGTTGTTACTATATTCATTGCCAGAAGAGGATTACGAAACTTTTGTTCTCACGGTGATCAGTGGTAGAATCACTGTTAGCTACAAGGACGTGACCTCAGTATTGGTGAATTATGAGTTGAGGAAGAGTGATAGTGAACCCTCCGAGAAGGCATCGGGAGATGCATTGGCAGTAAGAGGCTATAGTCCAAACCGTCGACTATTTAAACGCTCAAAGTCGAAGCATAGAGGTGGCTATAGAAATATTAGTAGGAATCAATGTACTTTCTACAAAGAAGATGGACATTGGAAGAATGAATATCCAAAGTTGAAAGATCGAGTAGGGAAGAATAAGGGAAAAGTCGTACAAGCTTCAGAGGTGAATGTTGCCAAAGCTAGTGGTGACAATTCAGATTCGAATTCTTCGGGCTACTCATGTCCAGCACTACCATCAGTTTGTTATGTCGGCTCTACGGAGTGGATGTTGGATTCGGGTGCTACATACTATATTTACCCTAGGAGGGATTGGTTCTCCAGCTTTGATGAGTTGGAAAGAGGGGATGTTGTGCTCATGGGTAATGATCATGTATGCCCCTATTGGTGGTATTGGAACGGTCCGAATCAAGATGTGTGACGGGGTGACTAGGGAGATGAAGGAAGTGAGATTCATTCCTCAGTTGACGAAGAATATCATTTTATTTGAAACTTTGGAGGCAGTAGGCTATAAGGTGATCTTAGAGAATGCAACTTTGAAGGTCACGAAGGGATCCATGGTGGTGATGAGAGATGTCAGGGGAAACAAAATTTACTACTTGAAGGCCAAGACAGTAACAGGAGGTCTGGCAGCTTCGATTATCACACAGGAGGATACTATTAGCTTATGGCATATGAGATTAGGACACACTGGTGATAAGTCCCTGTAGGTATTGGCGAAACATGGGCTGTTGAAAGGTACAAAGACCTGTAAGATGGAGTTGTGTGTGCATTGTGTACTTGAAAAGAAGACAAAAGTGAAATTCGGCACCGCAATTCATAACACCCAAGGTATATTGGATTACGTTCACACATATGTTTGGGGTTCATTCAAACACAGATAACTTGGTGGGACCAATTATTTTATCATTTTCATTGATTATTATTCCAAGAGGAATTGGGTATACCCTATGAAGCATAAATATGAGGTCCTAGGTATATTTGTGGAGTGGAAGAAGAAAGTAGAGCTACCGACAGGTGGAAAGGTGAAGGTACTCCGTTCAGATAATGATGGTGAGTACAAGAGTGATCCATTTCTACAGTTTTGTCGGGATCACGGCATAAGGCGACACTTCATAGTTAGGGAGATATCGCAACAAAATAGGGTGGCCGAGAGATTAAGTCGTACCTTACTGGAGAAGGTGTGTTATATGATATCACAGAGTGGATTATCCAGATCCTTTCGGACCGAGGTGTTAGTTTATGCGAGCCATCTCGTGACTAGGTTGTTGTACACTATGATACATGGGAAGACTCATATGGAGGTATGGTCTAGTTCAGTGGCTAATGATTATGATTTGATTTGGATATTTGGGTGTCCAGCTTACTATCATGTGAATGATGGGAAATTAAACCGAGGGTTAGAATCTTTGTGGATTTAGAGATAGAGTTAAAAGCTTCAAGTTGTGGGATCCACAAGACAAGAAGATAATCATTAGCAGAGATGTTACTTTTGATAAGGTGTATATGATGAGGCCTCAAGTCCCTCAATAGGTGGACGAAGGCCAGACTAGCGGGATATCACAGGAGGTTGAGGATGATGTAACTCCACAGACTCCAGATAGCATTGTATCCTTTGAGGCTCCTACAGAGGTAACACTAAGAGGAGACATGATGACAAATGGGCAGATGGATGATACAATGGATATTGGGAATCAGGGACAAGGTCATGTTTAGGAGTTCATTGCAGCTAATAGACCAAGAAGGGTTATTCGTCGACCAGCTAGATATGATGAAGTGATGGCTGCATATGCTTTATCAGTTGATGTCGTTGATGATTTGGTTCCTTCTATATATAAGGAAGCATAGTCAAGCTCTGATTCAATCAGGTGGAAGGAAGCTATGGAGGAGGATATGCACTCTCTTCAGAAGAACGACACTTAGGAACTTACAAAGCTACCGAAGGGTAAGAAAGCTATTGGATGCAAGTGGGTATATACAAAGAAAGAATGATCTTCTAATAGGGACATTCGATACAAAGCCAGATTGGTTGCCAAAGGGTATACCCAGCTTGAGGGCATAGATTATAACGAAGTATTCTCATCGGTCGTGAAGCATTCATTAATAAGGATACCATTGGTATTGGTGGCACCGCTAGATTTGGATTTGGTCCAGATGGATGTGAAGACAGACTTTCTAAGACAGACTTTCTACATGGAGACTTAGAAGAGGAGGTTTATAAGACACAACATATGGGTTTTAGAGTTGCAGGCAAAGAAGATTTGGTGTGCAAACTGAATAAATCTCTTTATGGATTGAAGCAATCGCCACGAGAATGGTACAAGAGATTCGACGGTTTTATGATTGGCCAAGGGTACAGGAGGAGCCCATATAACTCATGTGTTTACATGAACAAGCTACAAAATGGTGAGTATATTTATTTATTATTGTATGTTGACGATATGCTCATTGCTTCCAGGAATACTTCAGCTATTAGAAAGTTGAAAAAGTAGCTGTTATCAGAATTTAAGATGAAGGATCATAGAGAAGCAAAGAAGATATTGGATATGGAGATTGAGAGAGACAGGGTGAAGGGAAGGTTGAAGTTGATACAGAGGAGCTACTTGCAAAAAATACTGAAGAAATTCAATTTTGATTGTAA